CTAGTAGTGATGCCCTTGCTCCTAGTAGCTTCTTGTTCCTAGTAGTAGGGCCAGGAGCCCCTAGTAGCGTCCTTGCTCCTAGTAGCGATGCCAGGAGCCCCTAGTATGATTGATTTGGTTCCTAGACTTTTGGCGAAACGCCACTCTTTGCGACTCTTTATCTGACGCCTCTTGGACTCTTTGCATTTTTTTTGCGCAGCTGAGGCGTGGGTGGAGTAATCCCTACAAGCCCTTCTATTTCCCAAAGGCGAAACAAATGACACACACACGAAGTGGAGTGTGCACCACAAACAGGCTTGTAAGCTTGGAGGCCGTTGCTTCTAGGTTGGAGGGCATTGCTATTAGGTTCTTTTTGCTATTCGGCTGGAGGCCAGGTTTAAACTTATATGTACAAACATCTCTTCAGGCAAACATGCCGGACAATGTGTCAGAATACTTCGGTGCGCACGTGGCGGCCTTCTTCCATCTCTACAATGCCTTCACAAGGTGTGAACTTGGAAACTTTGTTGGAAAGACTCTCATTAAACGTTGAAGGCCAGAAACATCAGCTCGGTACTGTCTCGAAGAAATGCCTTTTCAAAGGTTTGACGGTTCTGGAAGGGGGGAGTTGTTTGATACATTGTGATCTTGCAAGGTGGCTTGTGGTGCCTGCTCTTGTGAGCATCATCTTCCCTTTCGTCCGACCCCACATTTCCCACGAGAAGGCGTCTGCTTTGAGAACTTTCTGTAGACATCAATGCCCTTTGCTCCTAGTAGCTTCTTGTTACTAGTAGTTAGGCCAGGAGCCCCTCGTAGCGTCCTTGCTCCTAGTAGCGATGCCCTTTGTTCCTAGTAGCGTCCTTTGCTCCTCATTGGATCAAAAGCTGGAACACAGGACCGCCCATAACGTGCCTTCATTTCCTTCGTTTCGATTTTGCGCCCGACGACTTGGCGCAAGACGACTTCAGGCCCACTGGTTTGACAGCAGCTTTGGAGGGATGATGTGTTTGTGGAGCACTTTCTTTCTGGCCTTCGACCAAGCAGGGTCAGACTGGCGACGGCATGCGGTTGAAAGGTAGTTAGGCAGGGTTGGGCCTCTGCTCTATCATTGCACCAGAAAGAATGAACTTTCTATTCTTTCTCCCTATCTTCCTTGCTCGTTTCTTTTGTTTCCCAAACCTTTAGACAGTTTCTGCTACCCTTGCTTTGTAATATGCATGCTTAGAATAAGGTTAAAACATGTTCTTGATTGGCTCTGTATCTTGACTCCCATGCTTGGGGTGTATGTGCGCTGCTTTAGGCTTTAGTTAGGAAAAACAATTTCGTAAAAAGAAAAGAACAGACACCTATTAGCGATGGCCTCCAACCTGCTAGCTAGCTGCTTTAGTTAGTGCTCTGTAAAGTCCAGGAAAGAGTACGTCTCCTGGTGCTACTTTCAAGATGTCCACACCTCTCTTGTTGCAAAGCTAAAGCTGCTTCCGAGGCCAGTCTGAAGCACCAGATGAATGCAAAGCTCTTGAAATGGGGCATGGGAGACACTGTCAGCAGAGTGAAAAACGCAGCTTGGCGCAATGTTTAAACTCTATGTTTCTTGGTCTTACCAAGTCCCTTGAACCAACTTCTCATTCCCCCTTGTGCACGGAGCAAACCAGGTGCGGAAGAACTTCAAGGACTGGCTGTTGGCAAGCAAGTTGTGTGAGATTCCATCAACATGCATAACGCTTCCCATATCTTCATGCAGGATGAACTGCGGGGCAGCTGCTCGGAAAACCTTCGCAACCTGCTACACTGGACCCTTGTGATCCTCTTTCTCAGTGAGACCGTCTTCTTTTCGCGATACATTGCACTGTGGAGGAGGGATCTTTTCGATAACCCCGATGGCATGACTTTTGGAATGCAGAACACAGATGCCGGAAAATACTTCAAGTACTTGGTCACGGCCAACATCAAAATCGTGGATGCAGTATGGACGCCTTTGTGCATCTACTTGACCAAACATGAGAACCATAGAACTGAGATGGATTTGAAATCCGCGATGATCCTGAAGCTTTTTGCAGTCAAGTCGGTCCTCTTCTACTATCCCTTCATTCGCAGCATTTTCATCCAACCTCACGTTGAAGGATGTCCAGGTCCAGGCAATCATATCTCAGGCCTGGCCTTGATGCCAGAGAATGACTGGTTCAAGCAAATGTTATCGAATCAACAAATTTGTTGCAGTCTTGCTACAGGGTGTTTGGATGCATTGCGAGCCGACCTTCAGCTTTTCTTCATTACACAGGCCCAGAGGGTTTCAAGAGACACCGTGAACCGGTGAACTGTGAGGTAGGCATTGGCAACGTGGTCAGGTGATATCCGTGGGAGCTGGCTTGATGGTGCAACTTGCCATGATGTACTGGACTGTTCGCAAAGAGCTTCAAAGGAAAAAGAGTGCGGTTCTTAGTGAAGTTATGATTACTTGACAGGATGAAATCATGAAGTGACCATGATAGATCTGAAGTTTGCCGTTTTCAGTGTGACATGTGGGATAGTTCTATCCCTCCGTCTCCTTGCTTTTGGATTCCTTTCAACACTTTTCGACTGACAAGGCGATGATGGGAAGCTCTCGTATGTGGAAGTCCAGGTGGGAAGCATCAAGTGAAAGAGCTTTCAGTTCTCACAGAAGGAGGTCTCCAGATTTGTTGCAACGACCATAGGCAATGCTGGCGGATTATGGCGAAGAGGCAGAGGTTTCGGATTATTTGCAAGTGGTCCTGAACTTTGGCTTTTTGTCAATGTCAGACCCCGAGCAAAATGAACAGTTGATATAGACATATAATATATACGGTAGATTGATATCTGGTCTTATAAACTTCATGACTGTGAATCGTTGAGGTTTGGCTGCGTTGCTCCTTCAATGTGCATTTTGTGCTTCTTGTCCAACCTTCCAATGAAGAGGCCTCAAAGCTGATTTAAAGGAAGCTAAACGGACCTTTGTTGCTAGTAGCTTCTTGCTGCTAGTAGTAAGGCCAGGAAGCTAAACGGACCTGTAAAGCTTTTGTGTTGAATTTGCTGAAAAGGCTTTTGGCCTATCGCTTTTCCTTCTCACAGAAGCGGGTCGTCCCGATCATCACGCATGGCCTTGGCTCCTGGAATTTTATTCTCAATGGTCTTGCCTACTTTGGTGTGTCACTCACTGCCTACATTGAGCCTGGGACCAAACATGCAGATACTCAACATGTCAAGAACCAGGTCAGCTTATGAACAGCTTAGGTGGTTTTGCAGCTGAGGTGGTTTTTGCATATGACAGCTTCGATGCCAACCACTTTCACACACAGCTCCTCTTGTTCCTGGCCATTGAACGCGCCATTTGGTGTGCATTCCACGTGTCACGAAAGGTAGGAAGGAAGACATCCACCCTCTCTGTCCAGCCCTCTGTCGCAAAGAAGAAGAAGCCATCCGAACGATATCTTTCAAGAAGGCTACTGAAACTTTCACCCCCGTCTACCTTAGCAAGCTGAGCCTTGAGCTTCGGACTGTACCTTTTGAAGTTGCATATTTTTTGAGACATTGAAATACAGAAAGCAGAATGCGTTAGAAAGCGCGTTAGAAAGCTAGCGCGAGAGGTGTTGTCGTGGCTGAGGGAGTGGCAGCCCTGAAATTGGTGCTCGACCTTTTCTTGGGCGACAAATCTCTGGCACAGCAGCGTATAGAGGAGGTCAATGAAGATGATCCGCGGCTATTTTTGTGCTAGGATCAAATTATCCTTTGTTACTGGTAGCTTCTTCTTCCTAGTAGTAATGCAAGGAGCTACTAGTAGCTTCTTGCTGTAATTCCCTTGTTCCTAGTGATGCTCTTGTTCCTAGTAGCGATGCCCTTGTTACTAGTTAATGAAACGAGATGAAGTGCTTCTGCCAACCTGCGAAGTTGTTCGAACACTTCCCACAGACGCTTCAGACTTCACAAGCAATTTCCCGATGAAGTTGGACAAAGCAAAGAAAAATTTAGGGAGGCAACTCTAGAAACAAAGTCTTTTCATCAGACCGTTCTTTTTTCCTTCCTTTCTTGACAAGCTGCCTAGCAAATGATCAGAAAGAAAGCAAGAAAAAGCTCGCTTTTCCAATCTAGGAACCTTTTCAAACATATTTTAAGTTTCCGCAAAAATCCAGGAAGCAAATCAATCATTCGAAAGGTTCAAGCGCCTTCAAAGTAAAGGGTCCTTGAAAAGAGCTCGACCAATTGGTGCACCGTGGCGCCTAGCAAGAGGTCCTCCGGTTTTTCTCACCCTCATTCCAAATCTATGGCGTCTATGGCCAACTTGGAAAGACGTTCATGTAGCGTCCTTGCTCCTAGTAGCGATGCCCTTTGTTACTAGCTTCGTGCTCCTAGTAGTACGGCCAGGAGCCCCTAGTACCGTCCGATCGCTCCTAGTAGGAAGACATGGAACAGCATGGAACTCACTTCTTTTTTCATTTCGTTTCGGCGTTCCGACTCGCTTTCTTCCGGACTCGCTCACGAAAAGAGCACGAAGACACCGAGGTTGCAGGCTTGATCCTGGCGAGTGAGATTCGGCGAAGCCATCATCCCACCGCATGTTTCGATGGATTTTGGTGTGGCCCGGTAGGCTAGGTGTGTCTTTGTCTTAAGTTCACAGCTAGAGCACCAAGTGTTCCTAGCTACACCTAATGAATGTATTAGGCACAGGCAATGTGTAAAGCAAAGATCCTTTCTGACAACCTCCCAAAGAAGCTCCAAGAAAGTGCCAAAGAAGCATTTCTGGTCGGGGGAAGCAGTCGTCTGGAAGCTCTTGGAACTCATGAAGCTCATGGAGCTCGAGCCTGCTTGCCAGCAAACAGCCAAAAGCGACGTCTTATTCTTCATTGTGACATTGTGCGTTTGTTGGGTTGGTGTCGATTGCATTGCTGGTTTGGCTTCTGTTTTCGTTTGTGCTTATAGCTACTAGTAGCATGGTGCCTCACCACTAGTAACAAGCTGCCTTACTACTAGTAGCTAGAAGCTAGCAACAAGGGTAACAAGGTCATTACTACTAGTAGCTAGATTTGTAGATTTGTACCGTTTCTTCAAGCGCCGTTTCCATTGCGTCAGAGAACTTTGGCTCTCGTGCGTGAAAGTTGAAACGAAACCATGAGTGGGTCCGGATCCGCAGCAGAAAAGCAGAAGCTGCTGAACACATCGCAGGCGCGAAACGAGGGGATCGTTTTTCCTGGGGGAATCATGGTTCATGCTCGAAGCAAAATGCCATTTGGTCTGGAATTTCTGAACAAAAATGCTGCAGCATTTCAGAATGCTTTCTTAGAGGTCTTAGAAGCAGAATTCAAACTGCAAGGGGTGGGTGACAATCCCCATGCAGAAACTTTCTGGGTCTATGATGTCTTAGGTTTTGGCCTTTGCGGCCCTTACTACCATGCAAGTGTTTCAAGAATTGATTTCAATCGAACGGAGCACTATCTTGGCTTGAAGAGTTGGTGTTGCTTGGGCTTTGGATATTAAACTTTGCATAAAAGGAAGGCAGGAGCAAGGACGCTACTAGGGGCTCCTGGCCGTACTACTAGGAGCAAGGACGCTACTAGGACCATGTTGCCCCTGATTCTTTCTTCAGCCCTTTAAATAAGACCTTTCAGGGGCTAGAGGCTTCGGTGGGGACATGAGGTCTGTAAATTCCTAGCTTTCTGCATAAGACGTCTTAAACCTTGAGTGCTTTGGGCGGATTGGAGGAAACCATCCGGGTCCTTGGTGCTGACGTTGTGAAAAATGATGGGCTGCTGGCTAAGACTTTATTCACTTCCTTCGTGGAATTCACGCAATGCCTTGTGACCCTGAGGCCGTGGCATTACGTCGGGGGACCTGGGAAACAAGCGTGCTGCGAGTGAGAGCTCCTTCAAGTGAAGAGCAAAGGCGCTGGTTTTTCCGATCCGAGTACAAGGCCGGGAATGGTGGTGGCGTCACAATAGAAAGGTCTTTGATGCTATCACCTTTCGACAGGCGAAAATGAGGAGTTGTTCAACAAGAAGATTGATGACCCGGCCTCCAAGTGGAAGGCTTCGCGCAAGGGGCAATCTCAGCGAGTCTCCGTTTCTGCTTTTTCCCAGAGGCACATGAAGACACTTGCGGCGCTGTTGATCACGAGCACTGGACAACACCAAATGCAAGTGTGCTGTTAGGAGCTGTTCCCAACGGAACAGAAAAGCCCAACTGATTTGAAGCCAGGAATGACGTGGGAGGACAGTATTTTTTCGTTCACTCTTTTCTTTTCTCGACCAAAAAACAAGGTTGGAGGCCATCGCTATTGGGATGGAGGCCATCGCTAGTAGGTTGGAGGCCATCGCTATTGGGATGGAGGCCATCGCTAGTAGGTTGGAGGCCATCGCTATTGGGATGGAGGCCATCGCTAGTAGGTTGGAGGCCATTAGGTTGGAGGCTTTCTTGACAAAGAAGCCAGTTGCCTTATTTAAGGGCTGCCGCCCAGTGCCGCCGACCCCAGGAAGGGAGACAAAAGAGGTGTGGGGCCGACAGAAGGCATGGTGACGCGTGGGTGGTAGCGCAGCGGGGACACCGCGGCGTGCTGCACCGGCTATGTGGAATCCCCAATGTGAGGAGTGGGCAGGAGGGGGTGCTGCATCGGCTACGTGGAGAGGAGGGGGCAGGGAGGGGGTAAGCGTTAGAGATATTAAAGGGGGTGGGGCAGACAGAGGGCA